GTTACATAATATATATTAATATTGATATAGAGGTGTGCATGCATGAAATAAAATATAATACATAATATATAATACGAAATACGAGCAGAGAATATACTATACTAAAGTAAGAAGAAATATACCATATAATGCAATTAAATTCTTAGTTGTTTTGCTGATTTTAAAAATATACCTAAGTCATCTAATTCTTTTATATTTCTGACAGATAACAACTGGATAAGTTTGCATGTAGAAGGATTTCTCCCATTATAATTTTTTATATACTTTTCTCTAATTCTTTGACAATTTATACCTTTCTGCACTCATTGTATAAAAAAAATTAATCAACGTGTGGTTGCCAGTGATCGCAGAAGATGATTGGATGAGTTTAAGGATCATAACCTTAATCAGCTTACTGAATGAATCAAAATATGCTAACAGGTGTTAATGAAATTGACAACTTTGTGAAATATGGAAGGCACTCGAAGGGGATTTTCGTTTTTTTAATCATTAGAGAAACATATACAATATTAGGTCAATGTCAGAAAAATATAAACTTTTTTGTATGAGGCTGAGAAACTAGGGAAGGGCGAGGTTCTACCGAGCCCTTCCCCAGTTTTGTGCCAAATACAAAAAAGTTTATATTTTTCTGACATTGACCTAATATTGTTTTTATACTGCAACTTAAATTAATACATTGATAGCTATTTAAATTTTAAACTTATTGCCATCCCTTAATGAACCTCTGATAGTAGAAAAAGTGATCCATGATGAAATTGACATTGCACAAAATATAGCTGTGTTATTATATTTAGGAAATAAACACAACTTGTTGCAGTAAAAATATTCTTACATAGTTACTCTTGGATTATCGGATTTAAGCAATCTCGATATTTATAATTTAACTATCTCGATTGGATAAATCCGATAATCCACTGGTATCAATGTAAGAATCTATATTTATCGGATTTGACTATATTTTTTACGTTCAAGTATAGAATGGTATTCATCTTCAATAGAGCTAGTATTACAATTTGTAAATATTTCTCAACATTATAATATCTGTCTGTTTCTGTGCTTAAGATATGAGCTGATTTACGATGTATGGTTTGTAATATATAGTTTACAGGTCAATTTAAATGAAATTACAATGCGTGTTTACTATACACGTGACACAGAGTATATGATAAGACATTCATTAAGTGTATTAAAACAAGAGTTACAACAACTAAATAATGACAAAGTAAAATATATAGTGTCGAATAACAGTAAATAATATCATACAAAAGAAAAAAGAAGCAAACAAACCGGTACAGTGAAAAGAAAAATATTAATTTCAAAACACATTTTTCTATTTAAACAAGTTGTTGTTGTTAAAATACATAAAAAAATAACTATCCGTTAAAGTTCTCAAAAATTGTCAATATTGAAACATTACAAACGTTTTCAAATAATTTTTATAGTTTGTTCTTATATATTATTTTTTTCAATTCAAATATTTATTGTCATATGAATTCTGAACAAAACGTTTGTGACAAATTATATAAACATACACAAAATACATTTCACAAACAAAACCATAGGAAAACATATCCCATAAAACATAAAAAGCAAAAAGCAAAACTATCTATCTATATGGTATATATATATTTTTATAAATAAATGAAGAGTCCCCTGTCATCAGTTCTAATGCCTGTTTAAAAAAGGACCCTGAGCTTTCTACTTCTTTTGAGGTTGATGGGCAAAGAAGATATTTAATTTTCTCATATTCCTGCCAGGACATAAAATCTGGCATATTTTTAACTACATTTCCTATAAAGTTATCTCTTAGTTTAGAATTTTTTCTACAGTATAAAATAAAATGAGCTTCATCCTCCAATGTATTACAGAATGTGCATAGTCTTTTTCTCTAGGTATGTTTAAATGTCTTCCTTTTTCTATCATTAAATTATGGTCGCTTATTCTCATTTTTGTTATGTTACTTCTCTTTTCAAAAGTTTTAGTAATTTTCCATTTCTAAATTTTGCTTCAAACTTTTATATAAATATAATTTTTTTTTTTTTTTTTTTTTTTAATTTTTTTTCAAATATATGTTTGTAGAAATTCAAAAATTGGTGTTTTAAGGGTTTTTTTTAACAACTTTAAGTAATTTTGTCTTTTGTTTCCCTCAAGAATGGATACTTCCATGTTTACCTCATTCAAAATATCTTTTACATATGTAAACCAGGTACAGCATCCTGATTCATCTTAACTTTTGGAAAGTAAAAAGGATTCATATAATAATGGATTAATTTCAGAATTTAGTAATCTTGATAAGTAAAGTATACTTTAGTTTTTATATGCATCTCTAGTGGGTATCTCCCTAGCTTTGTTCTCAAAGCTATGTTTGATGAAGATTTTCTTATTCCGAGGATATACTTACAGAAAGACAAATGTAATTTTTCTAAACATGATTTATCAGGAAAATTAAGGAGTTCTATATTTGTTTTGGAGATATTTGAACGATTTTCAGGATCTAAATTTTGTACTGTTACACCACTGTCACATGTTAGGGGAGTGTTGGGACTTTCAAACAAGTTTAACCTCGCCACATTCTGTATGTGCCGGACCCAAATCAGGAGTCTGTAATTCAGTGGTTGTCGTTTGTTGATGTTGAACATATTTGTCTTTTGTTCATTGTTTTGTACATACATGTACATAGTTTTCTCGTTTGAATTGTTTTACATTTGTCAGTTCGAGGCCTATGTTAGCTGACTATGCAGGTATGGGTTTTGCTCATTGTTGAAGGCCGTACGGTGACCTATAGTTGTTAATTTCTGTGTCATTTGGTCTCTTGTGGAGAGTTGCCTCATTGGCAAGGAGACCACCTCTTCTTTTTATACCTATACTGACTTTTCTACAATAACAGATGATAAAAAAATATCGAAGCTATTACAAAACTCGGGAGTCATTGAGTGCTCTTTGACTGTAGAATAATATACACAAAGAATTTAAACAATTCTTTTTAGTATAGTCCATTGTAATTGTTATAAAAAAGGGAATATTTTAAATTTAATTTATGTAATACATTCAGGTACAACTAGAAAAAAATGGGAATGAATCTTGATTTAAGCAAGACGCCATAAAATGTATTCTCCACCAGTACAATTCAATTTACTTTGACCAAACTATTGATTAAGATATTGCGATATACATATCACATGAAATTCCGTAGCAAATGCGTTCTAGGGAATTGATTCAAGTTAGTTTACATGTATTTTTATGGCGCTAAATCAGAAATATCTCTCGAACTCAACCAGTAGCTGTAAATTCTTTTCAGACAACAAAGTATTTATTCCTTTGCGTACTTTCAACGTAAAACTTGCTGAACATTATTGAAAATTGACAGGACAGAATTATTGAACAGATCTGATTTTAACCAAATTGCAAACATCTGAAAATAACCCAATAATAAAAAATAAGGAGATGTGGTTTTATGTCATTATTCATAAGCATCGTTTTAGCGCTGTCTTTCCATTATAGAACTCAACATTTTTTCTAGAGGTTATTGATGTGTAATGTAAACCGGGTGCAATTAATTCACACAAACGGAATAAAAGTCCATTAATGTACTATTATGTAAAGTTTATGTTTCGCACACAGTGTAGGTTACGAAATCAGTTTCGGCAAGATGGTCTATCTAAAAGAGGGGCGAAAGATACCAGAGGGACAGTCTAACTCATAGATCGAAAATAAACTGACAACGCCGTGGCTTATAATGAAAAAGACAAACAGACAAATAATAGTACACATGACACAACATAGAAAACTAAAGACTAAGCAACACGAACCCCATCCAAAACTGGGGGTGATCTCAGGTGCTCCGGAAGGGTAAGTGTGAACAAAGGGGAAAATTGCAATGAACCAATCCGATTCAAGTATATGTAGATATGCAAATTATGTACGAATTATTTTTCAATATACTGCATCTTCTTATACCACCTTAACAAAATCAACTTCAGTTTTCAGTCTTTTATAACCATCCAGACTTGATAACACAAGCTGCTTTGTTTATAAGTAAATATGATATCGTCGTTTTCATTTTCCTTCAATCAACTTTAAATGATTTGTTTCAAAACAGCAGGTTGGGTAACAAAATTTATAGGAGGTTCGGAGATACAATGGTGGCATATGTTAAAATGAGTTAGATCGATTCCAAAGTGCTTCAAATTAAATAAGCATTTATTTTTCATGTTCTTTTTTTCATCCATTGCATTCTTAGTAATTGTACTATCTTCTCATTCATTAATTTCACAAATAACAGTTGCATTAAACATAAGTTTACAACTCCTTGATGTCTCATTCAATCCCGGGCTCCGTTCTCTCTAAGTAGTTGTATTACTTCAGCATACCTATACAATCTTGCAGCTGCCAACGGGGTCTGTTTGTGTTCATCAGCTTGGTTAACCTCAGACCCTTTGTCTATCAGTAATTTAGTTACTTCATTGTACCCTCTCGTACAAGCTGTCGTTAAAGGGGTCTGACCATGCTCATCTGATATATTCACGTTTGCTCCATTGTCTATTAGCAGGTGTATAAGATTCACATTTCCTTTCTCACACGCAGCTGTTAATGGGTTCTGTCTTAACCTGTCAGACTGGTTAACATCATCCCCTTTGTTTATAAGTAACTGTACTATGCTATCATTTCCTCGTTTACAAGCAGTTACAAGAGGTGTCCGTCCAATCAACACCGACTTGTTGACGTCAGCCCCGTTATCAAGCAGTAAACGTGTGATATCTGTATTCCCCCTCATACATGCGGTTGTCAAAGGTGTCCTTACTTTTGTAGTGGGATTACTCTTACATGCAAATTGTGTCTGTTCTTGGATATCGACCTCATCAACCATAGCTCTTGTGTCTATTAGTAATTGTACTATTTTGTCAGTCCCTCTCTCACAAGCAGCAACTAGAGGGGTCTTTCCCCATTGCCCTTTCTTGTTTACATCAACTCCATTTTCTAACAATAATTGAACTATTCTCTCATTGTTTTCCTGACAAGCAACTACCAGAGGTGTCCGCCAATAGCTTATCTGTTTTGTTAACATCAACTCTTTTTTCTATCAGAATCTGAACTATTCTTATATACCCTTCTTGACAAGCAGTTGTTAGAAGGGTGTCTCCTGACTGCCCTTCCTTGTTTGCACGAATCCCATATTCTACCAGTATTTGCACGATATTTTCATTTTGTTTCTTATCAGCAATTGCCAGAGGAGTCTGTCCATGTCCATCAGCCATGTTAACCTCAGATTTATTCTCTATCAAAATCTGTACTATTCTTTCATTACCTTCATTACAAGCAGTTGTCAGAGGGGTGTCTCCATACTTCCCTGCCTTTTGTAAGTCAACCCCATATTCCAGAAGTAGTATATTTTCATTTTGTTTCTGACAAGCAATAATCAGAGGTGTATTTCCTTCTTCATCAGTTCTGTTAACATCAGCTTTGTTTTCTACCATAATCTGAACTATTCTTTCGTTATCTGCATAACAAGCAGCAGTTAGAGGGGTGTTTTTATACTTTCCTGCCGTATTAACACCAACCCCATGTTCAACCAGTAATTGTACTATCTTTTTATTTTGTTCCTGACAAGCAATCAACAGAGGTGTTTTTTCATATTCATCAGTCATAATAACTCCAGCCTTATTCTTTAACAAAATTTTAACGATTCTTTCATTACCTCCATAACAAGCAGCTGTTAAAGGTATATTTCCATCTTCATCAGTCATGTCAACATCAGCATTGTTTTCTATCAAAAGATGAACTATTCTTTCATTACCTGCAAAACAAGCAGCGGTCAGAGGGGTGTGTCCAAACTTCTCGCTCATATTTACATCAACCCCATATTCAACCAGTAGTTGAACAATTTTTTCATTTGGTTTCTGAAAAACTGATGTCAGAGGTGTTTGACCATCAGCACCAGTCATATCAACGTTAGCTCCATTTTCAATCAGTATCTGCACTATCTTATCATTCCCAGTTAAACAAGAAATTATGCGAGGAGTCTGCTTTAACGAGATAGCTTTATTGACATCGTCTCCATCGTCTATTAGCAGATGTACAATCTTTTCATTTTCTCCCATAGAAGCAGCAGTCAGAGGTGTATTATACCTGTGTGCATCAAAGTATTCAAGTTTAGTTCCTTTTGAAATAAAGTATTGAACTATGTCATCATATCCTCGGAAACATGAAAAAGTTAAAAGAGCACACGATACATCACCATTTGAATCATCTGCTATCGATATGTTTGTAGGGGCTACATAATGCTGTGTAGTATAACTTTCATGAAACGATGAACTGCGCAAAGTATCGTCCATCACTTGTAGAAGCTTATTTCTATATTCTTGATATCTCATCTGTGAATTATTAAAGCAATCTTCTATCTTTCCTAGATATAATTCGTGTTTTATTCTTTCAAAATATTCTTTTTCATTCTTTTTTTGTATCATAATAGTATATTTGTCATGTTGTTTATTCAGAGATTCTAGTTGTGTTCTTTCATTTATAACGTTGATGTCTGCATAGCGTAGTATGAATTTGAGCATTGAGTCGATATTACCAAAATAACAACACAAGAAATCAAACATAAGGTTATGTTTAACTTTATACTTTCTTTTCTTGCTATATAGATACGTTCCGGTCATGCTATCCAAAACAGTCTTCATTTCATACCAAAACGGAGCTCGATGTATACCGCAGATCTTGTGAACTTTCATGATTTTAGTACTTTTGTTATCAAATAATAGCATATCAATCGTTCCATTATGAGTTACGCATGAGAACAATGCGTAACACTTGTATAGGTAGATTGGTTTTAATTTGTCCCATTCTTTGCAATATGTTTCAAAAGGATTTTGCAAAAATTCAGTGGGATTTATATTTTTATTTTTAGAATAAAGATAACACATCAAAGGTGTATAATCTACATTTACATTTCTCAAAAGCATAACATTTTCTTCTGTCAAATACTTGGAAAATATTTTTAATTTGTTTTCCTTCGAATACTTTTCGGACAAATCTAGGACATTTGTAGTAAGTGAAGTGATAGTTTTTTGTAATAATTCGTCATAATAAATGCCTCTTCTACATGTTGCTACCATTTTTGTGTTTCCGTTGTTAAGAATTTTTTTAACTGTGTTTTCATGCATCATCAAATATTCCAGATCAGACATATTAATTTTGTAGCGTCCACAAATGTCTTCCACTACGAACAACTGTCTCAAATTTTCATTATAATGGTGTGATACATCCTTTATACCTGTACATTGATATATACCCATCTTCTTATGTAAATTCCAAGCAATATGATGCATCAACATACTCTTACCAATGCTAGGCTCACCTACTATTAAGACAAAGTGCTGTTCTTGAAGAATCTGTGACAACTCATAGGCTACAGATGTTTCAACAAAAATAGCATGTAAATCTGAAATGAAATAAATGGTATAAATTCTTCCTTGACCTACACAATTATATGAATTCTGTTGCTAGTTTGAAAACTACACCTTTGCCTAGCAGTACTTTGTATGCAGATATTTTACCATACCCAAAATATATGTGGAAATATAACAAACTAAACGATAATTCCCTATTTGAGGCGGAAAATGGTAGTTTATTTGAAATTTCATTTTCTTTAAAAAAGGGATTAGCTACGAGATGAAGAACAAATAAAACATACTTTTTTTGTTCAATAATTTATGAAAGTGATATAATAATTCGCTTTTAGCAGCCAGTTTGGTTCAGTTTTCGAAATAAGTTAAGAAACATTGCTGATGAATTATTCACTTGCAAGTGAATAATTCGACCTCAACAAATGAAGATGTAACATAGAGATCATATCTGTGAACAAGAACGCAAACAAAAACAAAATATATATGAATATCATTTGTCTCCCCAAAAGAGGCTTGGTTTGTGAAACAGCTGTATCTACAAAGTGCAACCTATACTAACATCCATTCAAAAAGAAATTTGTATTCATGTGACCTTCAATTTAACCATAAGCTAGAGATGGTTTACGCATGAATTAGGCGTCTTCAGCTATTAAAAAGAAAAGAATGCAAAAAATTGACAACAAACACTCATTCTTACACAGCCAAAAACGATGATTTATATATTTTTTTCAACTTATAATATGAAATCAATCAGACCTAAAAAAAAGTCTAATTGCTCATGTTAGCTTTTTTGTATATATGTATTTTTATTTTTTTTATCGGGTTATATGACCATAGGCAGTCTTTGGAGGTGACCTTGCTATTTAATAATGCTCTGCAGTGTATTTTCACAATTGTATGCGATGAAGATTTTTAACCTATACTAAAATGCTGTAATCACCCTTCCCTTCACTATGGGTCTTTCTCAGAATTCAATTTGACCGCTATTCATGTGTATTTATACTGGTAATATTCCCAAAATGTCTCTATGAGATGCAAAATAGAGATCATATCTTTGAACCAGTACGTAAACAAAACAAAATATCTTTTTATCATATATCCCCCCAAAAGAGGCGTGGTTTGTGAACAAAGTGCAACCGAAACTAGCATTCATTGAAATAGAAAAATCTCAGAAAACACCTTTTCTCACAACAATATTTATCTATCAGTATCAAAGCTAAAAAGAAATCACTGTTTACTTTAACTTTTCTTTGACAGTACATTTTATATCCTGTGTCAATTTTTAAAGAATTTGAAACAAGATTTTATATATATATATGAAGATGTGGTATGAGTGCCAATGAGACAACTCTCCATCCAAGTCAAAATTTGTAAAAGTTAACCATTATAGGTCAAAATACGACCTTCAACACTCAAGTGCATGTTTTTTTAAACATGAAATGCATAGAACCTGTATGAAAAAAAATAGGAAAACAAATTGAAAGCATTTCAGAAACTATTTATGTAAAGTGTAGTAGTTACTCATTCCAACATTCAAGATTATATAAAGTGTCAAATCATACCTTTGTCCCCAGTTCACATTTAGGCCCATGATTTTCTCAATCTTCATGAAAAATTTATTAAACTTTATATTTGAGTTCATTTCATTAAAGTCTTTGAAGATAAACTAGATTTGATGAAATTATACATGTTCTCGTTTTTACCCAATATAGATGCACTTGTATAAATATAGACAATGTAGTTTGGCTGCCACCATGCGTATTTATACTAGTAATATTTCCGTGTTATGTCTCTATGAGATGCAACATAGAAACTGGGAACCAGTTAATAAAAAAAATAAAAAACAAAAATATGTGTATTATTTATCTCCCAAAAGAGTTGTGGTTTGTTTATCGACAATGTTTAAACAGCATATATAGGTGATTTTTTTAAGATTTCAAAAATACATTAATATCTTGTAAATACACTCCAAAAGACAGAAACGAGTAAATGATATCGAACATTACCGATCTGCCTACTTGCAAAGATTATAATATAGTTTGATTGATTTAAAAGAGGATTTGTCTAACTCGCAAAATCTTGTTATGCACTATAGTTGCATCAAAATTAATAAAGTGTTATGACCTTTACTTAATTTAAAAAGATTTGCCAAAATATATCATTCATCTTAATAGAGATGCAATTTATGGTTAGTAATGATAACAGCAGCTAATAATGACTTACCAAGATTTACTGGTAAAAGTGTAGCATTGATTTCGTTTTTCTTTCCCGTTTGATTTTGCTAAAACGTTTGTAACAGTGTTCATTAGAATTGATTGCAAACTTTCATCTGTCTCAAACAGGTTTGCGTCTACTGTAAAGTCTAGATAAAGTAATGACTTATCTAACTCAGTTGAAAGGCTTTTTTTCTTTGCAGTTGGCAGGCCTGTCTTGTATTCTTCCATGAAAGAAAATAATGCACATATAAGCTAATAATCATTTGGTTCAAAAACAAAACGCAATACTGCTTTCATTAAAAAAAAAACATTATTTTGTTTACATTATTATTATTATTTGTTAAGGTCACACTTTCTGTAATTAGTATCTATAAAAGCAGTTCCCTACTAAAGGGAATGAAATATTTTCCAAATTGGCACCATTGTATAATGAGGTTATGTTTATTGTCCGATATTTGCTATACTTGTTAGTCCTTATCGGTTATTTTTTCAGATCATCAACATTTATTTTGTTTATGATTTTTCAATTATTTTGGTTTCAAACATTTATTGTTGAAACGAACATCTATTGCAGCAAAATACGGACCTTTAATGTTATTTAAACATATATTTTACAAACCTCTGATAGGAACCAAAACAGCTTCAATATACTTTGTTTGATTCAACTTAAGAATTCCCAAATCCATTATTCTTTCCATAAATCGAGTTAAAACGGACTGTAACTTTGTTTCTGTTTCCAAATAAATGACTTCAATTTGAACATCTAACACCACACTTCCAGAAGATGCCTTCTTGAATTATATACCAATCAAGCCTTGGTTTATTTCTTCTTTCATTTCGTTTAAGAGTGGTGCCGCATCATTTAATTCGGCCTCATTCCCCACAAAAATTTGAATCCGAATTTTTTCGTTTCCTTAAAGAAATAAATACAGAAATAAAATGTGTATTCATATCATACGCTGTCTTTCATACTTGTTTTTCGTTTATGTCGTTATAAATCAGGCTGTTTTTCTTCTCGATTGAATTATTTCATATCTCGTCATATCTGGGCCTTTTATAGCTGACGGTGCGATATGGGTTTTGTTAATTGTCAAAGGCTGTACCATAACCTGAAGTTGCTTAAATTCGCCTCAATTTTGAAGCGGTTGTTTAGTTGTGTGATTGGCAGTAATACTATATCTCCTTATTTTTAATAATATATAATCATAGATAACTCTAGCAAACGTGTGGGTTTATTTAGATTTGATCGGATTAGGAGCATTTTTCCCATGTAGGGTTAACTTTGTTTCAACCAGAAAACGAACTGTAATTTTGTTTTTG